CCAAGTTACTAGAACTTCGTGATGAACTATAATATGCAAGGGATGACGAAAAACGATTCTCGAGCTCCTCGTGATGCTGAAATCGACGAAGGTAGAAATCAAGAAAAGCATCAAATGTTGATGGTTGACAAGACCACTAGTTTCAAGTAAAAGGGCAAGGGAAAGAAAGGGAACTTCAAGAAGAATGGCAAGCAAGTTGCCACTCCCATGAAGAAGCTCAAAGCTAGACCCAAGCCTGAAACTGAGTGCTTCTACTGCAAAGGAAATGGTCACTGGAAGCGGAACTGCCCCAAATACTTGGCGGATAAGAAGGATGGCAAAGTGAACAAAGGTATATTTGATATACATGTTATTGATGTGTACTTCACTAGTGTTTATAGCAACCCCTCGGTATTTGATATTGGTTCAGTTGCTAAGAGTAGTAACTCGAAACAGGAGTTGCAAAATGAACAAAGACTAGTTGAGGGCGAGGTGACGATGTGTGTTGGAAATGATTCCAAGGATGATAAGATCACCATCGCATACTCCCTCTACCTTCGGGATTATTATTGGAACTAAATAAATGTTATTTGGTGTTTGCGTTGAGCATAAATATGATTGGATCATGTTTGTTCCGATACGATTATTCATTTAAGTCAAAGAATAATTGTTGTTCTATTTACATGAATAAAACCTTCTATGGTCTTACATCCAATGTAAATGTTTTACTGAATCTTGATCACAATGATACACATAATATTGATGCCAAAAGATGTAAAGTTGATAATGATAAGTGCAACTTATTTGTGGCACTGCCGTTTAGATCATATTGGTGTAAAGTGCATGAAGAAACTCCATACTGATGGGCTTTTGTAATCACTTGATGCTTGAGAACCACCAGAACAATGTAGCGAGCAACTGACTTGTTGGAAATAATACATACTGATGTATGCGATCCGATAAGTGTTGAGGCTCGCGGCAGGTATCGTTATTTTCTGACCTTCACAGATGATTTGAGCAGATATGGGTATATCTACTTGATGAAACTTAAGTTTGAAACATTTGAAAAGTTCAAAGAATTTCAGAGTGAAGTGGAAAATCATCGTAACAAGAAAATAAAGTTTCTACGATCTGATCGCGGAGACGAATATTTGAGTTACGGGTTTGGTCTTCATTTGAAAAAAATATGGAATAGTTTCGCAACTCACGCCACCTGGAACACCACAGCGTAATGGTGTGTCCGAACGTCATAACCTTACTTTATTAGATATGGTGCGATCTATGATGTCTCTTACCGATTTACCAATATCATTTTGGGGATTATGCATTAGAGACAGCTGCATTCACGCTAATAGGGCACCATCTAAATCCGTTAAGAGGATAGCATATGAACTGTGGTTTAGCAAGAAACCTAAGCTGTCGTTTCTTAAAGTTTGGGGCTATGATGCTTATGTGAAAAAACTTCAACCTGATAAGCTCGAACCCAAATCGGAGAAATGCGTCTTCATAGGATACCCAAAGGAAACTGTTGGGTACACCTTCTGTCACATATTCGAAGGCAAGTTATCTGTTGCTAAGAATGGATCCTTTCTAGAGAAGGAGTTTCTCTCGAAAGAAGTGAGTGGAAGAAAAATAGAACTTGATGAGGTAGTTGTACCTTCTCCCGAATTGGAAAATGGTTCATCACAGAAATCAGTTCCAGTGATGCCTAAACCAATTAGTGATGAAGTTAATGATGATGATCATGAAACTTCAGATCAAGTTACTACTGAACCTCGTAGGTCAACCAGAGTATGTTACGCACCAGAGTGGTACGGTAATCCTGTTCTGGAAGTCATGTCACTAGACCATGACGAACCTACGAACTATGGGGAAGCGATGATGAGTCCAGATTCCGCAAAATGGCTTGAGACCATGAAATCTGAGATGGGATCCATGTATGAGAACAAAGTATGGACTTTGATTGACTTGCCCGATGACCGGTGAGCCATTGAGAATAAATGGATCTTCAAGAGGAAGACAGACGATGATAGTAGTGTTACTATCTACAAAGCTTGGATTGTCGTAAAATGTTTTCGACAAGTTCAAGGTGTTGAATACGATGAGATTTTCTCACTCATATCGATGCTTAAAAGTCTGTCCGAATCATGTCAGCAGTTGCCACATTTTATGAAATCTGGCAAATGGATGTCAAAACTGCATTCCTTAATGGATTTCTTAAAGAAGAGTTGTATATGATGCAACCAGAAGGTTTTGTCAATCCTAAAGGTGCTAACAAAGTGAGCAAACTCCAGCGATCCATCTCTGGACTGGTGCAAGCATCTCGGAGCTGGAATATATGCTTTGATAAAGTGAACAAAGCATATGGTTTTATACAGACTTGTGGTGAAGGCTGTATTTACAAGAAAGTGAGTGGGAGCACTACAACATTTCTGATAAGTATATGTGAATGACATATTGTTGATCAAAAATAATGTAGAATTTTCTGGGAAGCATAAAGGAGTGTTTGAAAGGAGTTGAACCTGACATTTTTATTCTTATATAAAAATAGAACAGAGCTCTGTGTTTTCTTCAAAGTGGCGAACAAATCCCCGACCAAGAGAAAAATATAGACCAAGGGTGACGAGAGGTAGTGGCCATTGGCCAAGGTTCCACGTGGCCTAGGTGGGCTCGGACAGGGCGCGTGGAGGCCCTGTGCCCCTCTCTGGTCCATCTTCTAGCTCCAAGCTTCTTTCCACCAAAATAATTTACGGGATTTTCTGGCTATTTTTGGAGTTCCATAAACCGCTTTTTCTACAAGCACATTTTTAGCCTTGTTTTCCTGCCATATGGTAATTCCTGAGAATTCTCCTCTGTGTGTGTTTCATTCAAATTGAAGGGGAAACGACATTAGAATCGAGCAATAATGTGCAAAATATCATTAAGTAAAGAGTAAGTTATAATAAAAATAGAGATGAAAAATGGATGTATCAGTAACCAACCCCCCTGCCCAGATAGTGGTGTATTCAGATCATCCACATTCATATACATTTCGACACACCAGACCTTTGCGCCCACATCCCTGTCTGACAACAAACTTCTATTTTACAACCTTGTCTATTGTAGCTGTGGGAACTAGAACAAGCTATTTTATTGTACTCCCTCCGTTCAAATTTGAACTAAAACCACGACGAGTAAATCAGAACGGAGGGAGTATATTGTATGTACCAACAATTTTAGTGTGTTGCACTGAGTCTGAGGTTGAACTATAACAGAAAGACGGCACCGTCATTGAGGAATGGGAAGACAAGGAGCGGTTCTGCCCGAAGGCACACACCCTAGTTCGCTGGCGATGGCAGGGGCATAGGAGGTTCTTCAAGGTCCGGCCGAGGACATGTACGACTGGTTGTAGCGGCAAGTGAGGACACGTTGGGGATACCCGATTCCATGCCGAAGTGACCGCCCCGCCACCATCGGCTAACACCTAGATCTAACTCTAGCGAAGCTTGATGCCGCATCAGAAGGCGTCGAAGATGGCTGGACCACATCAGACCCGCCCTGGCAGAACCAGGAAGTGACCTTATTCTACCCCGTCAGTGACTCCACTACCTAGCTACGGTCGGCCTGACACCTAGGCCTAATCCTAGGCGAAGCTCAGTATCCATTAGAAGGCGGCAAAGAGGGCTAGACCACCCCAGATCTATTCAAACAAAACGAACCGGCCACATACGACACCGAAACTCCACACGTCCTCCACCAACGCCGAGTCGCATCGCTGGAGCAAGGACATGACAGGGAGACCTCGTTCGATGCCGCCATCAGACACTTACACCTAGCCCTAGCCAAGACCAAGGCAACCCTATCCACACGCCCCGACCGCCTCCCCGGCACCGAAAAGCACCCGGCGGTGGAGGGGAAACAGGCAGTGCTGTGAACCGCTGTCATTTTTCAGTTTTATCTGTTTGGGCCCTTGCTCATCTACATGAGCAAACCAGCCTACTAATCTTTTTGCACTTTGTCTACATGTATGTGCGGGTGCGGGTGCGGGTGGGTGGGCATCCATGAGGTTCATGTCAGCTTCAAAGCCCATCCCATGCGCCCAATTCAGCTGCCCCCATTGCCTTTTGCGTTTGTCATCTCCCCTGATTATTCCCCCAATACTTTTGCATGGTGGTCTGCCAACCAGCACACATGGCCATGGGATGCTGGCAGAATAGATAGAGAAATTCAGACTCCCCAGGAAAAAAGGACGAGCGAGCAGCAAACCACCCCCGTATTTCCCTCTCCCCCCTTTCCCCTCGGATACCCACCCCCACCCCCGCCCGAGGTCCAGTGGAGCCGCGCACGCACTGAGCCCGCCCGCCCGCCGCGACGAGCCCGACCCCTTCTCCCTCTCCTCCCCGTCGCCGCCGCCCCCTCCCCCCTTCCCCCGCCGGCCCGCTCTCCCCCCTCCGCCGCACCACGTCCCCCGCTGCCGGTTCGACTCGATCCGGCCGGCCCCGACCCGCCGGAGATCGAGGAGGGCTCGCCTGAGGCCCAGCAGGCCCCGCGGCGACCGGGGTCCCCGGCAATTCCGCCGCCAAGGAGGTGCGGAGGCGCATCCCCGCGCCCGCCCGCGCTCCCTCCCTCCCTCCCTCCCGCTCCGCTCCAGGGAAGGGAAAGCGCGCATCTTGGAAGGACGATTTGTCCGTTCGTCGTCGTCCCCCAGCTGGTGCGGTGGGTCGGCTCGCTTGCTCAGCTCACCTCAGCTCACGGGGCCGGATTTGGTCTGGCGGTGCGGGTGCGGTTGGGGTGCGAATTAAAAAAGGGCGAGGAGAGGGGGAGTGGTTAGTTCTTCCCTTGGCCGCTTGCAGCGGGGGCGCTAGCTGCTTCGTTGGCTCGCTCGTGCCATTAAAGGCGTCCCCTTCCTCCCTCCGCCCCCCTCCCTCTCCCCCCGTCCCCCGGTGGTTGGGTTCTCGGAAGATCTGCGGCGGTTCTTGCCAGGGGTTTGGGCAGATTCGGAGGAAGAAGACGGGGGCCGGCTCTGATTCGCCGTGGTATTTATGTGCCATGAGGAAGCTCTTCTTCTCCGAGTTGACCTCCTGCAAGGAGACCAAGCTCCAGTCCGCCACCCACTCATGGCTGCCCATGGACAAAGGGAAGCTCTCCAAGTTCACTGGCCACTCCAGCTCCTCCTCCTCGATGTAAGCCTTCTTGCCTCCCCACCATCCCTAATTTCCTTGCGGCAAGGCAGTACAAGTGCTCTGTTTGCTGCTGAATTGTGTTATAAGTACCTTGGTTAATTATTAGTCTGGTCTTGGGGCGGTGAACATCAAAATTCAGATTTTTTTTAGTGCTGCTAGATGTTTTTTGGTGTGAAGAGCCAGCTGATTCAAGTGTCTTTCCTTGTCTTTGGGATGCAGAGAATCTCTGATGAAAATGCCGGAGCCGCCGGTCCTCCCGCACTTCAAGCCCGCTGACTACGTCGACATACTGGCCCAGATTCACGAGGAGCTGGAGTACTGCCCTCCCGATGAGAAGTCGTGCCTGTACCTGCTCCAGTTCCAGGTTTTCCGCGGGCTGGGTGAGGCCAAGCTGTCGCGAAGGAGCCTCCAGGCTGCCTGGGAGAAGGCGAGCACGATACACGAGAAGCTCATATTTGGGGCATGGCTCAAGTACGAGAAGAGAGGAGAGGAGCCGATATTGGACCTTCTTGGCTCGTGCGGCAAGTGCTCTCAAGAGTTCAAGCTGCTGGATTTCGTCTCGCAGATCTCCGCCGAGTCGCATGGGATAAGCTATGACGATGAATCTGATGAGTTCCAGGGCTCCCCTGTGGTTCATTTCCGGATAAGGGATGACATGATTGCATGCGATAGGCGGAAGCTGGCGGCCTTGTCAACTCCACTGTATGCGATGCTTAACGGTGGGTTTAAGGAGTCGCATCTTGAAGTCATTGACATGTCTCGGAATGGCATCTCGCCTATTGGTATGCGGGCCATCAGTAAATTCAGCCTATCAGGAAGACTACCGTATTTGTCAGCAGAATCTATTTTGGAGATGCTTGATTTTGCTAACAAATTCTGCTGCAAGGGCCTCAAGGATGCTTGCGAGCAAAAACTTGCTTCTTTTGTTTCTTCCAGGCAAGATGCCATAGATTACATGGAGTGTGCTATTGAGCTGGGCTGTTCCATACTTGCCGCGTCATGCTTGCAGGTGCTCCTGAATGAGCTTCCAGAATGCTTGAATGATGAGCAAGTGGTTAGGATATTCTCCTCCGCGAATAAGCAGCAGAGATCCACTATGGCTGGCAATGCATCTTTCTCCCTATATTGCCTTCTTGGTGAAGTCTCCATGAGCATCAGTGCAACATCAGATGTCACTGTAAGCTTCTTGGAGAAGCTGGTTGACTCAGCATCAGATTCTAGACAGAAGCAGTTGGCCTTGCATCAATTGGCTTGCGTGAGGCTGCTAAGGAAAGATCATGCTGAGGCTGAGCGCCTGTTCAATGCCGCCTTTACCGCTGGTCATGTCTACTCGGTAGTGGGCTTGGCTAGATTGGCCTCTCTGAGGAGTAATAAACATTATTCTCTCAACTTGCTTGACTCTGTCATGTCATCTCGGTGGCCTCTTGGGTGGATGTATCAAGAGAGAGCCCTATATCTGGACGGTGACAGCAAGTTGGAGAATCTCAATAAGGCTACTGAACTGGATCCTACCCTTACATACCCCTATATGTTTCGAGCTGCATCATTGATGAAAAGGCAAAGTGTTGAAGCTGCCCTGATGGAGATTAACCGGATCCTGGGGTTCAAGCTGGTCCTGGAATGCTTAGAGCTAAGGTTCTGTTGCTACCTTGCTCTAGAGGACTACAGAGCTGCCTTATGCGATGTACAGGCAATCCTCACGCTTGCTCCAGATTATCGTATGATTGGTGGTCGGGTGGCTGCGAAGCAGCTGCGTACGCTTGTAATGGAGAATGTAGAGCAATGGACGACTGCTGATTGCTGGATGCAGCTTTATGATCGGTGGTCCTCTGTGGATGATATTGGATCCCTCTCGGTCATATATCAAATGCTGGAGTCAGATGCTGCTAAGGGAGTACTGTACTTCAGACAATCTTTGCTGCTTCTCAGGTAACTTAATTAATTTATGTTATTGCACAGAATAATTAATATCTGGCATAATGCAGTTTGTTAGTCTATCAATTATTGGCATTGTAGATGCTACATCACATGGTTTGCATGCCTGGCATGTCTTGGAATGCTAATTCAATAGATGGCTGATCACAGATCAGCATAGTTGCACATGCTTCCTCCATGATCTAATTCTTTGGCAGTATATGTTAGGACTAATGCAATTGTCTTTGTTCTTTTTCCAGATTAAATTGTCCCGAGGCTGCAATGCGCAGCTTGCAGCTTGCTCGTGAGCATGCGGCAAGCCAACATGAACGACTTGTTTACGAAGGATGGATACTGTATGATACTGGCCACTGCGAGGAAGGATTACAGAAAGCGGAAGCATCGATTGCCATACAGAGATCATTTGAGGCCTTCTTTCTAAAAGCTTATGCTTTAGCTGATTCGAGTCTTGAGGCGTCAACCTCAGCAACAGTCGTATCGCTTCTTGAAGATGCATTACGGTGTCCCTCAGATAGACTTAGGAAGGGCCAGGTAAGACTTTCCTACACCTCTTTCTCAGATCTGCCTGGATAAACATTCCATGCATGATAAGGATTTGCTGCCTTGTTTCTCCTGTGACATATTGCTATATAGAGATCCACAGATCTTATACCGTAAATACTTATGTAGCAAAGGAGGGTTTTATCCCAGGCTCGCAAATTACGGAGTGGAACTTTGTTGACTTTTCTACCTATTCCTTTTGTGTAGTATATGCATGTGCATTTCCTCATTTGTTAAATGTATAGGTGACTCTTTATGATTCAGATCAGGTGTTGCTATACATAGCCCTTGTTAGGATGTCATATTCGTTGTTGCATTGAGTAATGGGAATGGTGCACTTACCATTAAAAAATGGCTGTCCTGGTGCTCCTAACATGGCAACTCATTAACTGGTCTATTGAGGGTACTCCAAGAGTGATTTGATTTCTTGTCAAATGGATATCTTCTTGTCTAAGTTAGAGCATGCCATACCATCCAGGGTATAGAATGCCATTTTTCCCATATGGAGTGGGTTGTTGGCTTCAGTAGCTGCTCAGATGAATTTCATCATGTTTGCAATCATCTTAGCTACCTGCCTTTGTTCTTTGCTACATGAATTAAGCTACTTAATTGAAAACTTTTTCTTTAGCACAGCTAGATCCAAGTTCGTATATAGATGATTCTGTAACTTTCTAGGCTGAAATGTCCAGACAAGAAGCATCTAACACATATGTTTGTTTCACATCTTACAGGCTTTGAATAACCTTGGGAGTGTTTATGTGGATTGCGGGAATCTGGACTTGGCAGCTGAATGCTACATTAACGCTTTAAAGATTGGCCACACGAGAGCTCATCAAGGCCTTGCCAGGGTTCATTTCCTTAGGAATAACAGGACCGGTGCATTCGAGGAAATGACCAAGCTGATAGAGAAGGCCAGGAGCAATGCATCAGCGTACGAGAAGAGGTCTGAGTATTGTGACCGGGATCTAACTAAAGCTGATCTGCAGATGGTCACCAAACTTGACCCCCTCCGGGTCTACCCCTACAGATACCGTGCTGCTGGTAAGCGCTTGTACCTGCCTAGCATATCTAGTTTTAGATCACCAGTATCAAAGAAGGTTGAAACTTTGAATATAAAATTCTGGTCAAAGTAGTTCAATTTGTTATTGGTTGTAGCTCATCTGCGCCCAACTCCCAGAGAGGGTTTGTTGGTACTTTAACAAACCAACTACCCAGTTCCTAACATGGGCTAGTGATAAGTCAATGTTGTTTGCCATATTCTATGCTCAACCTGATCAGTTGGTGCAACAACCATATATTTCATTTAGTTCCTGAATTAGCTCATCTGTTTAAAGTTCTCATGCCCCCTTTATGCTGATGTGAACTCCTGTATGATCTGGTCCTCAGTTCTGATGGACAACCACAAGGAGAAAGATGCCATCTCAGAGCTGACTAAGGCAATTGCCTTTAAGGCGGACCTGAACCTGCTCCATCTGCGTGCGGCCTTCCACGAGCACGTGGGTGACATCTCAGGCGCCCTCCGGGACTGCCGCGCAGCACTTTCCGTGGACCCCAACCACCAGGAAATGCTCGAGCTTCATCATCGGGTGAACAGCCAAGAACCCTGAGCCCGTTGTTGTACATACAGGAGGGGCTCCCATAGCGAAAACCCATACCAGTGTATGTTCTGTACCATACACAGCAAGCAGTAATTTTTAGTTTTGATGGTATCTAGTGCGGCTGTAAGGATTGTGATCATCAAACCGACTAAAATTAAGCCACGTGCTATATGGAAAATATTACATTCCACTTGTGTCACTTGGCTAACACTAACTGGGCAATAGGCTTCAGCATGCAACAATATGCATTGAACCGAAGGCCTGGCTGTTGTGTCCATCAGTTTTTGCACTGCTGTAAAATCCACTTCTTTTGTGTTAGTACTTAGTAGTGAATCTGCTGCAACATGCAGTTTGATTTGTCCATTGTGCTACCAGTTTCATGTTTTGTAAACTGCTAAATAACACTATTAGTTGATCCTCAGTCTCCAGATGTAAAGATAGTTCAAGTAGTTGTTTTTGCGTGATTAACCATGGTTAGGGCCTGAAACTTGGATATCATTTCTGATTTCATGGTCGGTAAACTGGTAAAATACACTGCTAATAGTTGCATATGGTTGAAGACTGGAATGATCTGCACGAGATGGTTACCGCTGCATGTTATTCCTCTGATGGACAGGTATAGTTTATTTTCCTTGTTAGTGAACATATGTAGTGACCATGACACTAGATGAACTTATGTTGCATTTCCCTGTTACTTTTGAAGGTTGCAATGGTGGGATCTCACAAGGGAAGCTGCCATTTATTTGATACAACTGGTATGTCACTCTAATCATAGTTAAAAGCACTGTTGATGTTATTTGCAATTGAGTACTACCTCTGTATCAAATATAAGATATTTTTGTAGTTCAAATTGAAGTGCAAAAACATCTTATATTTTGGTAAGGAGGGACTGAGGGAGTAATAGTAAGCTGATATGAAACATTAATATTTAGACATGTAGTGATGTTATCTAGTTTTCGATTTCATTGATGATTGCAAAAGGAAGCTTCAGTACAAAAGTCAAACAGATCTAGAATCAGGAAAAAGGAAATCTGTCCAGAAGAAGATTACTGGCTTCCATGTACATAATTTTGCAGTGGATGCATTAGGGAACTTAATACTCTGTTAAGAAACACTCATGCTTAGCCTTTTTGAGGGACTCTAAAATTATCTGTTAATGTGATGCCACTAATACCATCTAAGCATCTGTATCTCATTCAGCAGTTTGCTCCAGGAAGCTCCTTGGGAGTCCTGACTACTTCTGCAGAGTCAAGAATCCGTGTTGGTAATGGCGATGAGCTTCTCCACAGATTTAAAGGTAAAATTCCGTTCTCCTTCATTGTAAAATGTCTAGGATATGTTTGCTGATCAAAATACAATTTTATTTTTTGCAAATCTAGAGCACATGAACAATGTTATTCTGTGTAATTCAATCTGTGGTGACCTGTTGCGCGTGCACGCGCATGCTCACGCTCACGCACACGCACACGCACACACACAGAGGGAGATTTGGGGCACCGCAGGACTTGTGCCTTTTCTCTGTTTCTTTCTTCTCACTAACAAATGAACCGGATACAATGGCTTAAATAGCGAATACAATGGCTTAAATAGCGAAACATGCAATGCCCCAAGCCACACTGGCCTGATCTTAAACTCATGCACACGTTCTCCACTTGTGCAGCATCTCCGCAACGGCTGCACAACGCAGCCAAAACAGCATGCATTTAGCCGGCTAACACTAACAACCTCCATGCAATCTAGCTGACTAACACAGGTATACACGCCACTTGCACGTCCAGGCCGCATTTTCATTGGGCTCGTTCCTGGTTCACTGAAACACGCGCCTACACAAAATGATTCCAAGAGCACTTGCATGGTTGCCCTCGGGTACGAACTTGCGGATGTGCTCACGTTGCTGCCGCCGCACAGGCTTCTTTCTATCTCTGTGCTTCTCCTGCTGCTGATCCGCCCGTGTCATGAAGCAACACATGCAATTTTCCTTGAACCTACTAATGAAATTATATGACAATTAAACTATGCAGTACAATAAAACATAAACTGGACCTATAAAACAAGGATAACTCTAACAGAGCAATGCACTAGTGTTAGTTTGGGTCTTTGCATTCACTTTGTGTTTGATATTTTGAACAGGGGTTCAGCAATACCGGAAGCCAAATCTCAGCATCTGTAGCTCCAGAGGGGAAATCTGTAGTCTGTGTGTGCCTGTGAGGACTCCCATGTGTTAAATGTGTATGTCTGGAACATGGCAACAGTCCCTGTCCAAGCATAAACAGAAGCAGGAGCAGGAGTCCATGATGTAGCTGTTGAACTCGCATGGCCTGGTATCATTTGAGTGTCGTAGCAGCAAACAGCCAGACACAGCGATTCGGACGGTGCAGTGAACTCTGTCCCTGAAGCTCCTGTACAACACGGTGAGCATGAACCGAATGGGACTGCTCACAGATACACCGGGAGCCGAGTTTGCGAAGCTGGTTCAAAGCACAAAACACCAGCTATCATCCAGTTGAAGCAGTGTCTCCATCCTTGCCCGACGAACAACTACCGTCTGCCAAGAGCAGTCGTAGTCATGGCTATCTAGCGCCTGTCTGCGTGGGGTTTGGTATTTGTCACCGCAGGGCGAGGAGGAGAAATCAGAGTGTTCCAGAATTTTGGTTTCCCTGTTCGAGTGTAAAGCTAGTGTAAGAGCGGGGGGCTGTTGGTTTCTTTACTGTGTAGATATCTTTTATTTCTTCACCAGTTCACCTAGAATCTCAACTATTTGAAAGTTCTGGGGACTGGTTAGCATGCATGCGTCCACCATTTTTTTTCTAGTTTGGTCAAAATTTGTCTTGTTAAAGTATTAGTACATAATATTTCATTCAGTTTTTGTGTGCATCATGATGTTTCTTTTCGGACTCTGATAACTGGCGAACATCAGATTTGTTTTTGATGGGTACGTCAGTTTTTCAAGCATGACAAATGAACCTTTTTTAATGGCAATTTCCATGTTCAGTTTTTTTTGCTAGAATTTGCCGTCATTGTTAAAAGAAATTGGCAAAAAAGGTGTGATTTGCCATGCTTAGCCAGTGGACGTCATATTTTTAACATTTCTGTCCTTTTATGTACAGGTAAAATAAGAGAGTACTTGTCAGATTTTTACCTACTTTTATGTTGTTTTCTTCATTTTTTTGGGCTGTATCTTTCGTCGTGTATATACTAGTAAAATAAGAGTACTTGTTAGATTTTTATGTAGTATACAGTTTTTATTGGGTTTTGTCATGTTTGAGGATGTATCTTGATGTTTCGTCGTATATCAGCAAAATTGGGACGCATGAATCACTAAACACATTCAACGGTGGATCGAGGCATGGTATGTAGCTTGCGTGGTAGAAAAATGACCGTTGAAAGTCTCTATTTTGAGATCACTCTGTTGAAAGTTCTCTCTGTTTTGGTGCCTTGAGAGTAACATTACAGAATACTAGATAGCTTGTGCAAGTTCATGATCAAAATAACATTACGTAGTTCCCCACTATTTTTTCTTGCCAGTGACCAATGATTGAGCAACCACACCGTATAACCATTTATTATTGTGAATATATATAATATTATATCACTGCACGGACCAAGTTACGTCCTCCTCCCTGCTGCTACACGACTGATGATGGTCCATTGGTTCAAACAACAATCGCCACATCATTCATTTATACCTAAGCATGAGAAGAAAGAAACACAGTGAAGATCCATGGAGCTGCATGAGTACATTAATTCCTAGCAGAGGAGACAGACACACTGCAACAACTAGCTGATCGATCGAGGCTGCGATGATAAAACAGGAGCCTCGAACGCGCCGGCGACTGTCACGACGACGCCGATCATCAGTTGCCGGCCGCCGGGGGTGGTGGCGGTGGCCAGGTGAGCTCGAGGCCACCGAAGTCCTCCCATGCGCCGGTGGGGGCGAGCGCGCCGTCGCAGGCAGCCCACGGCGCGAGACTGTCGTAAAGGTTGTCTGTGACTGACGATGCCGTCCACGGGAACCCGCCGAGCCCGAGGTCGAACTGCGGCAGGAAGACGGGGCCGCCGTCGGTGAGGAACGGGAAGACAGGGAGCTGGGGGAGCGTGTCTGGCAGGTCTGGCTGCGGCGGTGGCGTCGAGTCGGAGGAGGGCGTGTGGGGCTCGGCGGAGGACCTGCGGCGCTTGCTGCTGCTGCCGGAGCCGCGGCGGCAGGCGCCACCGACGGGGACCTTGCGCAGCGTGCCGCCTTGCGTCCAGTAGCGGCGGCAGGTGCGGCAGTAGTGGCGCGGCTGCGCCGTGCTGTAGTTGTTGTAGTAGCAGAACTTGGTGTCGGTGGAGCTGCACCGCGGGCACTCCAGCTTCGGCGGCTGCTGGCTCTCGCCGTTCTTCTTGGTCACCGCGCTCTCCTGATCACCACAGTTCACCGGACGCGCGCGTCAGTACGTACGTACGTGCGCCGCTTGCCGGAGAAGAGAGAGATAGAGTGAGCACCGAGCAGAGCAGAGACTGACCTGCGCGAGTGGCTGCTCTTGCTCAGCAGCGTCGGGGGCGGCGAAGGGGCGCTTGGCGCCGGCGGCGGGCAGGAGCGAGGCGGAAGCTGGAGCCATCGTTTGCCGTGCGGGCGGGGCAGCGCATGCCGTGTCCGACCCGGCCGGCTTAAAACGAGCTGCGGGCGGGCGCGCGTGGTGATCACCAGCTAGCTAGCTCTACCAGTAGCTAGGCAATTAGCTAGGAGAGGGAGGAGAGGTAGGAGACGTAGCGGTCAGTGTGAGCTGGACCGATGGGCGGCAAGCGGCGGCGGCAATCAGATGATGGATCGGGCGACGGGAGCGGTTGGTCGTGGCCTACTAGCGGTAACCTATGCGAGGCCGTGTGCCCATGGGGTGTCCTATATATAGAAGCCGGCGCGGCGGCGGGTCCCGCGGTGACGCGGCATGGACGAACGGCCGGAGAACTAGATGCTCGCCTTGCGTCGGAAGGCAGCTTCCTCCACGGTGCATCCCTACCAGCGTCGCCGTCGCGTTCGCGCCCTATACGTATGTCTGGCTGGCACGACCGGCGACGGAGACCCGACGAGCACGGCCATGCCTCTTGGTATTGGTACTGGTAGGTCCGGTCAGTTTACCGAGGAGACTGGAGTGTCCATGGTGTGGTGGGGAGAGGAGACTGGAGTGTTCGTCCGGAGTGTTCTGGGTCCGTCGTCGGCCGTGGCGGATGGATGGAATCTTGCAAGTTGCCGCTGGTACCAGCCCAGTCCACTCCAGACAAGCATGCACGCGCGGCACTGTGCTAAGATACTGTGATCGACGTTGTACGTGATCGGCGAGTGGGCATCGTCGCAGCGGCATCTGGCGTCGCCGCCGGTCGGACGAGCCGTGACGGCGACTCAAGCATCCAGTGTGTTGTGCGTGCGTGACAACGTCGGCCGACGGGGCGGATCGGCGTTAATGGGGACGGACGCGAGCTGGCGGGCGAGCGCACGTCGTCGTGTGCTGGTCGCGTCGGGGTGACGCGGCGCGGGGCCCGGCGGAGGTTGGCGAGCTAGGCGAGGGGGCGTGTCATCTCGGGGGAGAGAGGACAATGGGGACATGGTCGGTGCGGCTTTTTCTTCGCGGCGGGGCCACCCGCACCATGCGACGGCTACGGCGCTGTCACAGTCGTGGGTTTTGTTTGTCCCGGGTGGACAAATTCACTGTTTTCATCCTTTTTCTTAACTTAAACCCTTTTCTACTGTTATTGTCTTTGGCGGTAGGGTAGCCTATCCTACCGTCAATGCCTTTGACGGTATGACGGTAGGACTTACTTACACTGTCAGGTCCGTATAATGTGAAAAAGTTTCTACCGTCATTGTTTTTAGTGGTAGGGGCATGCATGTAATTATAATAGAAGCACATATGCAATAAAACAAAAATGAAGACCATACCGCCATAGACTATGGCAGTAGGGTAACACATCCTATCGTCATAGACTACGGCGGTAGGTTCTTTTTCGCAAAAACATAGGTGACAGTGTAGGTAAGTCCTATCGCCAAAGGCCTTGGCGGTATGATGTGTTACCCTATCGCTAAAGACTATGATGGTAGAAAAAGGGCTAGATCCGAAATAATTTTGCACATAGGGCCAGATTGTGCTAAACTGACGAATAAATGTTAAAACAATGAATTTGGCCAAATCTTTCTCATGCTAAGGATCAACTCTTGACCACCTCTAGATATACCAAACTTTTCTTATGTCTAAATCGATGGTGTTATAGTCTTTTTTTTAACATAGTACAATTGAAGTTGCTCACATACACGAGCAGACACTCACCTTTATGAAGGCACGGACGCACACTCTACCCCTATGAGCACCTCTATGAGACTGAGCCGACATAGCATCTTGAGATTTTACGGAAGTCGATGGGAACGTCTTCTCTCACTGAACGAACATCGCTGGAAGCCTGAAATAAAAACAGGAATAATGAGAGCACCAACATCAAGTATATATAGGACTTGAACCTTGGTGTGCTAGGGATACCACTGTCCTCCTAACCATCTAACCACATATTGGTTCATGATGATGTTATATAGTCGTATGGTGTGATCTCGATTCTTCCTAGTATTGCACAAATCCCGACAGGAAACATCAAGGATGACAGATGGACAAAAAGGGGTCATGCATTCACCGTTAGCTCTGCTTGTTTTTATATTTTAAAAATCATTTGATTTTTCCAGCACTGTCGGATGAAATCCAACAGTTGATTGTGCTTCCTTGTTCTCCGGATATTCCTCCTCGCGATTTCCCTCTCGAACCGCCTACCCCACTCAATTCATAGTTGGCGGCACTTCCGCCCTCGACCATCCCTCTGAATATCCCCGCATCAAAGTTGTCTCCAACAATCCCACACCCTACCCAAACCTGACATAGCCTACTACTCACTACCGAAGTTAACGCCTCGGCCAACCGTGGCGCCCTTGTTTCTAGCTCGAGGTTATGTATTCTACATCTTCATCCAAATCGACTGCCACACTTTTTTCCAGGGAACTAAAATTTAGCAAATGCAACAAGAAATGACCATCTGATTTGTGATCTTTGATTCTCCTCACTCTTGCAAGTTTCAATGCATAGACACGGCTCAACCAATTATGTTGGTTATCTACAAGATAGACATCTTTGTCGGGTGACACATTATCAGAGAGTACCGCGAGAATCAAGTGGGGGCATAGTTAAAAAGTTCACAAACTTGTCATTTGGAATTCCGTGATTTCAAGGGCTACCAAAGAAATTGTCTTGAAATTTCTTTCTGGCCACGTCTAAACTAAATTCAATTTTTTTGATCAACAAATCTCATTTTTAATCATTTTTTTCCAGAATGATTTTCAAATTCTAGACACGGGGCGATGTAGTGTAATAAAGCAGTGGGAAATTTGAGACACCGCGTATAGTGTGCAGAGTGAGCACAAGGGCAAGAAGCAAGTGCCACAGTGATGCTAACATGGGGACATTGTAGGTCGTGATGGAGAAGCCGGGGGCGACATAGTGGAACCCAAGGGGAGAAATTTTTGAGAATGTCGTAGTCGCCCTAGAAATATTTTTTAAATGTTGATATCGATATTCATATGATCAAATTCTTCCAATCCCATTGTATTTTGCATGATTATAAATTTTCGCATCAACGTACTATGGTTTCCTAACGGACAGTTTATCGTAGGCTTATCGTCCGAGAAATAGCAAAACCAAAATGGTAAGGGCGTGCATGCACAATCATTATACATACACTCAATACTAAGTATCGCTGATCTAGTACGAAGTTAAGGATATCATGTATGTCATTTAGAGAAGACAAAAAAAATATCATATTATACAAATACAATGAAAGTATATCCCATTGTTATCTCCTACTCCATCCGTCTGAAAAAGCTTGTCCCTACATGTGTGATCGGGTCTATCATGTTACGAGGCGGCTATCATGGTTGCTGCGGGGATGGATCCAGTCCAGTGTAAACGTGAGTTGAGTGTGTCGGCAGAAGATTAGCCACGGGCAGTACCACGACTGCAAGACTCAATAGCGAAATGACACTTTCGGCAACGCACGGACGTCAACAGCTCCCTCACCTTTGGCTGGCTACAGAGCCGTGCAACCTTCCAATTCTCAGCTCCGTCAACCCCACCCGTGCGGGCGCGCACAAAATAAATAATGCTGCATTGGATGTGGATCGATCGGAAGAGAATGTTCAGTCCGGTATGTCGTGCTTTACATACCAGCTCGCTTGCAACTGAGCTCAAATTCTTCTTAAAGAATAAAGGTCAAACTAGTTACAGTCCAAAAAAAATAATACTCTCTCTGTAAACTAATATAAGAGGGAGTATGAATTAAGATGGCGTTAAAGCGTTGTTTCTCTACCTGCGACGGAGAAGATAAAATAGTTTTCACTACATCGGCCACATATTTGCCGGCACCGCCCCCTCCCCACCCCCACCTCCCATGCTTCGGCGGGAGGGATCCCGTCCTTTCTTTAGGTAGTTTTAATGCGTTGGTTAGGGTGATAAGGCAGCGGCGGCGTCTTAGAGTTAGAATATTGTCTTTACCATCATATTCCTGCTACGGTGGTGCGCTTAGAGCCGGCGGAGAGCATGTGAAGGTGTGTCTTCGACGGATCTTCTTGGATCCAGTTGGCGGTAGTCTCAAGTGTATCTGCTTGGATCCAGCCGGTGTTTGCCTCTGGCAGACATGGATTCAACCGATAATCATTTCAGTTGTTGTATATGGCCCATCTATATAAGATTATTGTTGTCAACGACGGTTGCTGTTCTGGTGCGTTGATCTTCTGAGACCTTACCGTAACGAATTTTTGACTACCTACTATAACAAGGTCTGCCTGCCTCCGATGAAGGACATGAGATGATGACGGCATGCTTAGGTCACTCAAAATGCTTGTTGCTGGTCATGGGGATTAATGTACTACTTTACATGTTATTAATAGACGAGAGGGCTTAAAGAAAGAATTAAGATGGGCACCAGGACGAGAACCTTGGGTGTCTTTGATTGAGTAACCAAATGAAATGGGATATCATGGTTCTATCTAGTGGAATTTGCGTCTTCCACATTTGGTTTTAGATCCCCCGTCCACCACCGTCGTCTGGGATCACCACACAACCCCCGCGGTGCACCGTGGTCGATGCCAAAATCCGATAGGGAAACACTTTTGTAGAGGGAGGAATAGGGCTAGACGAAACTCCATGTCATGTGGCGCTAATTCAGGCGAGGATCGAGGGTCCGGTCAATATAGCGTGGTTCCATGTACATCCCTCTAGGTGGAACCAATACATTCTATTCCGCCTCCTCAACCAACACTAGAACGGGCACCAACAGATGCGGAGCTCACCCCATTCCACTCCATTACTCCAACCAAACACACCATAAAAAGTGACACTTGTCATAAAATGTTCTACGGAAGCAGTTCTAGAGATCTCAACAAAAAGCCAAGAAAAGCAGGTAGTGATAACCACAACGAATTCAGACGACACGGTGCTTTTTTTGGACGAAAGGCTCACGTTCGGAATGGAACCACAAGTGAGATGATACAAGAAAACGGTGTCCTGCCGACCAACGTTTGCAGCGACAGCGA